GCTGCCCTCGCTTCTGCCAGCTTAGAACCACCGACCGGACCAGAGAGGAGGTTCCGAAACAGCGCGGCTGTGTGCGGTCACTGGACAGAGGCCGAACGAACCGAACCGCAAAGCTGCTGCCAGGGTGGAGAGTCGTTGTCGCTCCAGTTTAAAACGTTCACGGTTCTGTTCCCCCTCGGAAAACTTGTGCATGACAACTTTGCACTTAGGTGCAACTCTCGTTTCTGATGAAAATAGAAAGTTCTGCTGACATTCTTGCTAATTTGTTAGCGCAGCATGTTGTTGTGATTACATGAGCGCTGCATGCTGGATCCAAGCGCTGCTGGATAGAAACACTGGAGCAGAGACAGTGAACTGCTGGATTGAACTGCTTATATCAGAGCGCTTGTATCGGACATTTTTTATGCAGGCCGATAAAATCAGATACTTATTTTTTGGCTGATATCGGACCGATATCTGATATCAATATCGGATCGGGACACCCCTACCAGGAATAGCCAGTTCTTTTAGCTTGGACTGTAGAGACTGAGGCCACTGCCTCTTTATAGTTAGTTAAGCAAGTCACAAATGTATTATATTTGCTTTATTTGGGTTTTTATTTGTTTCCAATTTATTAGTAAGAACCATTAAAAAAGGTCAGGTATAACCCTGTAAGGCTGTGATCAGGGAGAAAAAAAACCCAGGTGTGAAAAATATAAATCACTGCTCTAACACCTGCTGCAGTTCCTGCTAACAATGAAAGTTTTTGACATTTTGATCAAAATGGGATCTTTACATTCACTCCCCAGTGTGATCCAGATGGAAATCAGTGTAATACTCAGCTTGTGATAGCAAACAAACATAAGTGTGCCGAGACGTTGCCTGTCTAAATCAATAAATCCCCGGTTTGAGCAGAAGCATGCAAACTCTTCTTGGAAAAGCAGAGAGTTTGCTTAACTTGAAACGCTGCAGGAGTTGTGCCCTTGTAGGTTTTTTTTTTCTTGCTCCGTCTTCAGAGAATCCATGCAGCTGTTTTCTAATAAATATTACTCCTTGTTGTAAAGAAAACTAATGTGTTAAATTAACCTGAATCCCCCTTTAAGGCCCATACAATCCATTGAAAATGCAAGCAGTTCATTTATTATAATAAAGATAAACGGATGCAGACGTCCTCCAGTTTTCATCAGACTTTTGCTCCCATCATCTTCCCTTCCTTCACTCCTCTGTCACTTCTGCTTTTATAAATCCCCCTGCTGTAAACAGAAGCAGAGCAAAGAAGCAGTAATTAAATAAATAAAACTAATAATAATGTAGGCCATTTGTCAGAGCTGTGGTATTAATGTCAACCTGCTATGCTCCTTTTTTTAATTAATCATTTTGATTCCAGCTCTCAGTGTTTGGCCTTGAGCAGGCAGGCTGTTTTTTTTTAATTTTATTTCTTTATATTGAGTTCGCCGTGCATTTAAAGTAACCAACAGACTGGAGGAAAATAAATAACCAGGCGTCTGATAAATAGATTTTCAAAGACAACTACAGCAGAGTGGAGAAAACAAGCAAAGATTTGATTCAAAACATGTATTTTTTTTCTTCCTATTTTAACTTTATTAGATCCCGACACATGTTAGCATGCTGTTGTTGAGGTTCACACACGCTCTGCTTGCTTCCCTAAACCGGAGGAGTTGGAGACACCGTCACGGAGAGAGCAGGCTTGGACGTCCTCTCCAGCAGCGCAGATGCCACTAAATAAAATATTTCATAATCCTGCCCAAATCCTCTAATCACCATGACAACAGGCAGCAGGGAGCCAGAGAGTGGATGCTTCTTGGACCCCCACACCTCCCATCTCCTTTTTTTTTCTCTTTCTTCCCCGTCTGTTTTCATCTAAATTATGGTTTTGCATCTTCAGACTTGTTTTTGCTTTGTGTGATTAACCC